GCGTTTGCCAACAGGGCTGCTTTCTGTCAAGAGCTCACTCGACTTGTTATCAAAATGATGCATGGGTCTCAGGGGTCTCAGGGAAACCTGGGGATCAAATCCCTACATCTGAGCGAGACACAGAGCCCTACCACCTCCAGGGGCTGTACCGTCATCACCCACTCGGGTCTATGAAGGAGGGCGAGGGGACAAAATATGTTCCTACAGTGATCAAGTATTATATTTTACATTGCCTAGAAACTGCAGCCAGAGTTGAAGCTTAACATTACCAAGTAGCTGAAAAGTACAAGGGGTGTTCAAAACAACAGGAGCACTTCAAAAGTTATGCAGTTTAATACAAAGAAATGATTACTCGATAAATCAAAGAAATAAGTAGCAGAATCGATGATAAAAATAATTATTAGCTGTAGCCCTAATTTAAGATAGCAAATTCATCACAGGTCTAAAGGATTAAATAGAGGTTTGTTACTTTGATTATGACTTCAGATAAAATGATGTAGCATGTTGCCATTGATGCAGATACATGTATTTCTGTTTGCATGTGTGGGTCTATGCAGTGGATGAACACAAGCAATGGGGAAAAAAACGTTTGTGAGGCAGTTGTTCTTTTTTTACGCTTTTCCATGTATTTCTCTGTCTCTGCCATTCAACCAAATATACAGTACTTGTGTGTGTGTGTGTGTGTGTGTGTGTGTGTGTGTGTGTGTGTGTGTGTGTGTGTCATTGCTGGGGGGGATCCTTGTCCTATCTCATTGCATGCATGAGTCAACACCAGCCCCAAACATTCACAAATAAACACACTCACAGGTGCACAGGGAACACATATCGATGTACAATGCACGTGCAAAGCGGCATGTAGCCTTTTACTTTAACAGGAACATAAGAGAAAGATACAGAGAAAGAAAGTGGTATAAGGAGAAAAAGATATCTATGGAAGGAGAGATGGATATTTTGGGTCCACAATAGAAATGTTTCTTTAGTTGCTATACCACGGTTACAGCTGCAGTCAAGTCATTCGGAACATAAACTCCCAGACAGAGGTGAAGCTGCTTACTGGGGGAAATAGAGCAGGTCAGGGCCATGTTGATAAAAAAACACATAATCAGATGACTGGAGAGATCTGTAAATGTATGAGAAAACAATGACAGAGTGAAAAAAGGCTTGGATAAGTTACTGTTGGTAACCAGCTATTCAGAGCCTTCTTGTAAAGCTAAAACTCTCTGGAGTTTTTATTTCCCCCCGGATTTCTATTCCCTGGGAAACCAGAAATATTTTGCATTTACAGTACATTTACAATACACTTTGTACAGAAAATTACATTCAAAGTGTATCTTTATGTTTTGACATTGTATTATTGTAATTTTGTTTTCAAATCCAGCGCATTTCCGATCTATTCAGGTGTTTCTCATTGAAACTCCTTCATGTCTTTCAAATGCATTTTAAAACTGTTCCAAGTGTATGCCAAACCACTTCGAAATGCAATTCAGAAATGTATTGTCTGATTCAGTTGTATATTTTCCTTATAAGCTGCTTAAAAATTAGATATATTATCAATATATTTTCCATGACACATTCAGGTTGTATGCTTTTTTTAGACCACATTTCAGAGATAGAAATACTCATTTTCAAAGGCCTTCTGAAGAACCTGCCTTGTTTCAGCGTGATCTTACCTCCATTTGTTTCCTCTGTCGATGTCAGATTGACGTACGGGTGCATCCTTAATACCATTAAGTGTGTGGGAGGCTGTGCTGCAGCAAAGATGTGATGTAGAAATGATAAAGTTGACTTAGACTGCAGTGTTTAACATTACCATGTACGTATAAGGACAACATTGTCAGCATCATTGGGAGTTTCTACACACTTTCTATGTGAATTCCTTCCTTCATTTGAAACTTGCTATTTGATCCTCAAAAAGCGACGCACATTTATTAAATGCCTTGATGTATTATGACATTTAAGATATTAGATAATACTTGCTTTATTCCACATTTCCTTCACACATTACACACATTTCTCAAAGCACAAATCAGATCTGATTTTGACGAATCAACAGGTTGTATTTCCTCACGCTGGCCAGTGGAGTCAATTGCCTGAAGACACACCATCTATTTTGAAATGGTTTGTCAACAGTATTTGCTGGGAAGCAGCCCTCACTATTGGCCCTCTGGCAGCCAATCCTCGAATGTGCCTTGCAGCGCAGTGCTAACATCAGAGCTAAAATGATACCTGCATTTCTCTTTCATTATCTTTCATTCTGGACTTCTCTATCACGTTGAGTGCTGCTCAGATCACTAACCCTCCCCTTCCCCCTGCACTCATGTTCTTATGTAATAAACCTGCAGCACACACATTGCAACAACAAACCGCTACACACATTCACACATTATTATGCTTAGCTACGGACTCTATACTGCTCTTCCTGTTTCATTACACATTCATTAGGAAGTGAAAAAAACAAATATGTTGGCATGGTAGTCTTTATAAGGCCACAGAAAGCCATTGATTTGCCTGTTTTTCTGACGCACTGCAGTCCCTTTCTCTGCATTCAAGTGAATTGGCTAGAAGTGATGGTCATCGTGGGCAAGTCATTAAATCTGAGTGACAGCAGCTGGAATTACTTCAAGTTTAGTCATTTATTCGCTGAGATCTTCATGTGAGTGTGTTGATCTGAGTGTGCATGTGAATGGAGGCGCATGCCAGATACACATATGGTAGGGCAAAATGGCATGCTGAACTGTGTCATCATTCAGCCAACAAGCAGGTGTTATTATGCCTAAGTAGGGAATGAATCATGCAGTAAACTATCATTTCCTATTGTGTCAGGGGAGTGGCTTTTTTTTAGAATCAATGAATGGTGTAGATGCATCGTAAACAGTTTTGTCTGATACCATAGAATAAGACAGTCTGTCAATGAGATGGAAATGACTATAGAGAGGAAAGACTTTGTTTGTTGTTGATGCTAGAGTCACATTAGACATCTGGCAGCCCTCACCAAGCAGTGTATTTTGACACTGATAATCTCCGCAGAAAAAGCAGTCAGCTAGTGTTTTTCTTTTTTTTTTTAAATAACTGCCCTAGAGTCAAAAATAGACATTATTTGATACTGTGAAGTGCTTGACGTGCAGGAACATTGTCTTGTGCTGAGGACCTTGGCTAGTGGTCAAACCTGCATTGTTCAGTGTTTTTCCTATAAACACCACAACAGAACTTACAGGGTCCTAGATGTCAGTTTAGTTTGACACATAAAATGAGTTCAAAAAGTCAATGTATCGAATAAAAAGTCAGAGAAGAGATCAGATAATAAAGAAGAGAAAGTACTATAGACATAAATCCGCCATAGCTGACCCTTTTCCCCTGACACCGTGTTAATTATAGAACTGCTTTACAGTACTGGAGAGGACTGTATGTGAGCTCCTAGTGGGACCAAACCAGTGGTAGCAACATATAAATGTACTTTACATGCTCTATGAGGAGGTTTTATAGAGCTCATAGCTTCACATAAATAGTTAAGAGTCTAAGAGACTAATGTAGTTGTATAATGTGGTTTCTCCAGAGAGCTCTCATATTCCTCCTGCTCAGATTGTAAAATCAGATCAAGAGGTTTTCTGCTTCTCAGTGTGAAATGTAAAACTTCTCATCTTGACATGTTGGATCCAAAACAACCAAATGATACATTAAATCCAAAGACGACTGGATTGTTGGAATAATGCTCTTACTGTAGGTTTATTGAGATTTTCTTTTAATAGCCTGAAATGTTTCATTCTTTCAATCCCCCACATGTTTAGACATCATGAGCTAAGCATGTGTGTGTATTTGCTATAAGAACATGGTAGAGGTGCAGTGGGGAGCTACAGGCTATGGAAAGGGAGAATATCCATTACATAAGAGATTAAACCGAAGGAATCTGAGGTATGTATCCAACAACGCTGGCCAATAATATGAAAAGACCCCCCACCCCATGTGCACGGCCTCAGCGGGTGGGTCCACTGTTTATCCTTTTGATGTAGGCTTGTAAAAAGGTAACAAACACACAGCGTGGTACTGCAGCACAAACACAATCTCATATTGTGCTATTGGTCTCTGTTGTTGGTTTAACTTTGCTTCCGAGCCACTGTGGCAAGAGGCCGTGTGTGTGTGTGTGTGCGTGCGTGTGTGTGTGTGTGTGTGTGTGTGTGTGTGTGTGTGTGTGTGTGTGCGTGCGCGCGCGCAAGACAGTGACAGGGACGGAGAAAAAAGATTTGATTTCTAATATGTTCCTGATCTCAGATAGATGTTACAATGGGTCTTGACTTTTGTATAAACTCCAGCCATGTTGTAATAACATATAATGCCACCGGCTGCTTTTACTATTCTTACGGGCTGCTGCTAAAAGATAGATAAGACAGAGAAGATAGAGAGGGGAGGTCACTGCTGTTTTGTTCAGCCCCCCTCTTGGGTTTCATCCATCCATGTGCTGCACATACCTGACTGACACACACTCATCATAATGAGGATGGTCACTATCCAAATCTCTCTCACACACACACACACACACACACACACTCTCTCTTGCTCTCTATTTTTAATGGAAGAATGTATGATGCATGTCCTCTTTCCTTTTCCTCACTGTGTAGTCTTCTTCCTCTGCTCTGATGTGTATGTGACACACATCTGTTGCTTTAGCTGGAGGCGGAGAGAGCAGGGCGAGAGGATTGAAGCTTACACTGAAACCATTGGCATACGCTCGCAGGAATGGAGGGAGAGATAAGGGAGAGGTGGGTGGACATGTAAGAAAATGGTGAGGAAAAGAGTAGCGAGTGAATGTAGCGGTATTAACAGCAGAGGAGTCACTTCAGTTCAGTATGATCAACAAAAACACACGGAAAAAAACTCAAAGAAAAACAGACCCACAGACACGTTTTTAAAGTACAGCATCAGCTTAAAAAGGGCAAAGAAACTTAGACGGATAATGACAAACATTTTGTACGAGTCGGTTGCATTTGTAAGTGTGTGACACTGACCTCTGACTCGGGCATAGCAGCAGCCACACTTGACCAGGACTTTACGGAACAAGTGTTGGCAGCCACAGCCTCGGTGGTGGCGATGGTGATGGTGGCCCCCTTTCATGCTGTTGAACCATGAGCAGAGGTGGGCATGGCCCGGCACTCTCTCTCTCCCCCCCCCCCCCCCCTGTCTCTTAAGTGTTCCTCTCTCACCCTCACAAGTAGAGGTTTACTCCTCAAAGTGTAAATCCCCAAAGTTGTCAGTCGATGTTCCTCCTCAGTTGAACGCAGACAGACTTAAAGTCCACATCCAGACCGAGAAGAAGAGAAAGAGTCCACAAAAGCAGCAGCCAAGAAGAAATCCACACTCACAGGGCTTTTCAGATGGTGATAAACAGCCAAGGAAACATTCCAGCAAGCTTATCGTTATGTTGGACGTGCTTCCCTTCCCTCTGTCTCTCTTTTTCTCTCTGTTTTCTTTTTGGAGCTGAGCTCTTGCCTCTGTGAACTGCCTGGTCAAATGACAGGCTGGGAGACTGCTTCAGAGAGGGAGAGAGAGAGAGCGAGGGAGAGAGAGAGAGAGAGAGAGAGTAAGGGGAGGGGTGAGAAGGGTGGAGTCTGCAGCTCTAGTTGCTGCTATTCCAGGATAAGGTTCCCACTCCCCTTATTTTCTCTCTTATTGTCTTCTGTTTTTTTTTTCTCCGCTGTTTTTTCTTCTGTCTCCCTGCGTATCCGCTGTCCCAAACTATCCAACTCCGAGACCAGACGCAATGCTTCACTCTCTAGTGGAAATCTCTCCTGGAAATAGTAACTCTGTCAGGATACATAATGCTATTTACAGAGAGGCCATGTTGGGTTGAAGGTGTCATGTATTTTCCAGTAAGGCGTCTATAAGTGTGTTCAACTGACAGTTTAAGTGTGAATGTTCACTTCATGGATCGTAGAGGGCTTTCCTGACTAGGACGCAGCTTCAATATTGACTTGTGTGTTAATTTATGATCACAGGGCCAGCAAAGCAAGCGGTTTTCTTTTTCTTTTTGTTTCCATGGAGCGAGCAGGCAGGCTCAAATTTCCCAATGCTGGCGTGTTGGCATTATTGTGTGTGTATGTGTGCGTGTGTATTTAGCCATCACATGACACATTTAGCCGTCATTTAGCCTGACAGTTCATTATGGTATATAGTGGGCAAACGTATAGACTTAAGAGATCCCAGGTTTACTGGGAGATAAAATCTTCAATCACGATATGTAACTTCAAATCGCAATATCAATATACAGTATATCATAATATAGTCAATTTTATGGAAATTACATTTTTGAAACATGTATAGCTAAAACAACAGTATGGTAATATCAGTTTTGGGCTTGGAACATACATCTGAAAAAATCAAAGGACTTTATCATATTGATGTAAGAACTCTGTAAATCCATTACTACAACAACGTAGGCCTGCTCTTATACAACTATGGTCAATGTGGCATGTTTAACTGTACCAGTAAAAAAAGAAGGTTTCTGACAAATTTCTCCAGCTGTACTCCCATCAGATACAGCAAATAAGCATGTGTTTCTAAGAGGTTTTACTCATCAGTGCCGGATGTCCACTGTAGGACTTACGGTTTCTTGATTTTACTCTTTTACCTTTTCTTTTTCTACAGAACATAATGTATTTGCGTGTGTGTGTGTGTGTGTGTGTGTGTGTGTGTGATATAGTGCTGCAGGATTAGGACCAAAATGATAATCACAAGTATTTTGATTCAATCATGATCAATATTGAAATCACGATTATTTATTGATTTTAGGGACAACATATTTTTATTGCACTTTCACATTTTATGAATAGAGCACTGCTTTCACTTCCATGTTGTGCTATTGTCCAGTTATTTGCAGCAAAATAAGATGGGTCCTTATTCACGGTGCATCTCCAAAATTAAACAAATTAACAAATCATTCCATCAAAATAAGTCGAACAATAAGGTTCTTCTTCACCTGAATTCAGTACATTTTTGTTTTGCCCGTCTGCTCTCTGTCAAGCGAGTAATATACAGAATATTATTCTTCTACTCTGGACTGCAGGCATTTAGGAAAGTTTTTCACGGGCTGCCGCTGTGGGGTGAGTGGCAGCGGCATGACGGCTCCCCAAAAGGAAACCAAAACATCTTGCTTATCCCTTGGTGGCTGGCCGTTAGTTTAGGAAATGCTTAATTTGATATGCAGGAGAATTTTCTAAGTGGAGCAGGCTTTTTAAACGTCACTATCACAGTCGGCCATGTTCATTTAATTGTGGGAAGCCAAAATCGTGTTCATGATTAATATTCAATTAATTGTGAAGCACATCTGTGTGCGTGTGTGTCTAAAACTGAATGAAAGCTCAGGTTGACAGACAGAGGGACATGAGTGTGTATATCTTATGAAGGGGTTGTGTGAGTCAAGGTAAAAACACAGGACTGTATCTGTGCCCACACACCCACACACACACACACACACACACACACACACACACAATCTGTCTTCTTCATAAAGCTTTTCATCATCCAGGTCATGATTATGTTGAAGCTGGAAGCTGCTGAAGTTGTGTAATTGTTAACACAGCAATATACCATTTAGATGTGTCCTTTACATCAGAGCACATTAATCTCAATCAACACTACATGACCTATTAGCCTTTCTTACAGATGAGTCTGTTGACTTGTCAGCGTGGGACACAACTCAAGACACAACCCACAGAGGCAGGAAGATGAAAGAGGTTGGTGATGATGCAACTCTGAAATACTGCACATTCTGAGACCCAACCCAATATTTTCTGACCAAGACACATCCTTTCTTCAGCCTGAAGCCGCTGAGTTCATGACTCACGTTTGTGATCTCATCTCACTTTTGCAGCACTCATCACGCCATGCTGCTTTCACACAAGTTACAATCCGACTGCGTGGAAATCACCACCTGGTTACTGCAACAAAGACGAGCACCCACTCAGGTTCCTCTTTGGTGGCATCGGCGGAAACAAGAGAAGGCCGAGTATCAGCTGGCACTTAACCAACGTGCATGCATATGCACGAGCACGTCCCTGAGGTGCACTGTCACGTACTTCAACGGTAGGCAGTGCTGTCTGTCCATTATCCATCTCCACAGTGACAAGGTGGTGGCAGATTGCTGTCAGGATGTTTCTGTCATCTCCAGGAGAGTAAACAGAGAAGCCTGGCTGCCTCACCCATTACCCACAAAAGTAAGGTACACACACAATCAGTTGCATTCGACTTTACTCTCTCACCATCACTCACAAACACACAGGGCTGAATAATGCAACTATACCATGTAAAAGAAAAAGGTTTTCACAAATGAGAGGAACCCGACAGTGATAGATATATCATCTATTCGAAGGTTCAGACAGCACACTGGGTTTCCACATGCAACACTTGCACTCTGCATAGATATAGATAGATCACAATCCCCCGCTTCCTCCTCCCGGCCTCCCTCCATCTCTCCCTTTCTTTTGCTTACAAAGGATGCTTTAAGCGACTGTGAGTGCAGGGGCAATTCACCAGAGGAATATTGAACAGCACTGCTGAATGTCTCCACTTGTCTGATGCCGATATGGCTGCCAAACACTGTCCAGGAAATAGGAGCACAATTCAAAAAGGGTTGAGAAACAATGGATTTGACAGCAGAACAGAGGGTTTAAAAGCAGCAAGACAAGAATCGGAGGGCAAAGCATTACAAATTGAGTGAACGCTGCCTGCGCTTTACGCAAACGTCGACTACACAGCGGAGAGATGATGAAGAATACACTGCTCTTGAGATGCATTCAAAATTCATGAAGTGAATGCAGGGAAATCTTTCCATGTGCTCTTAAGTTGAAGGATGCCAGAGTGTGTTTCTACAAGGCACCCAGTAGGGGGCATTTGTACTTGTTGCATAAGGTTGAATGGTTGGTTCACTGACTTGGCAGAGCCTCTTCAAAGCACCACAGACGTGAACATTTTGTTTTACTCTACTTTCATAGATCAATATTTTTTTGCAATAACAGCAACACAAATGTTTGGAATATGACATATTCCACAGATAAACACAAAAATGTACATGTAGTATATACTGAATGCTCCCTTTCTCAGTATGAAATTAAACCTTTGAATATGTGAACACCCAAATTGGCCCAGGAGACATGTACAAAGCCCTGAATGTTATCAAAAATATTGAAAAAATGTTCCTCCCCTGGCTTGCAGAGGGGAGCGGGGGATGTGAGGTGAGGCGTGCATTAACATCCATTCATCTCTCTCCTTTTATCTTTGCTTCCTCACTCCTTCCTTCCTTCTCTCTCTCTCTCCATCTCCCACACGGGACGCACTAAAGATGATTCATCCGCACACGTATGCTTGTGCAGACTGGGAGAGAGAGACCCAGACTGCTACAGTGATATAGGATGAATAAAATCCATACATGTACGATCATACCGGACTGGATTTAAAAGCTTGCTAAAGATTAGCTCGCTAGTAGATGGATGTGTGTGTGTTTTTGTCTGAGACGAGCCAGCCAAACAGGGAGAATGCATCGTCTTTCCACTCGGTTCCAGTCAGTCACATTTAGGAGGCGTGTTCAGAGAGGAATCCTGCGTATGATTTATGAAACAGCTAGTCAGCTCATGTAAATGAACACAATGCATGTCCTGTTTTTCTGTAATGACATTTCTGGAATACAGATATTGCATACACAATACATCCTGGACAGTAAACTCATTCATAACGTACACTATTAATACACACACACTTAAACTGCAGAAGGAACAGGCAAATACACCATTTATTACATAAGCATGGAATAACTACAGCAAGTCTTAGTTCAGCTTTTTCGCAGTTAGTTCCCCAACCCCCCTCTGACATTAGCCTCTCCTCAACCCATCAGCCAGTTGAAATCCTGCCAAAATATGCTTCCCTTAGATTTTCCTTCCTCCCTCTCCCTTGCTTTTTCCTCCCTTAGTTCCTCTCTCTTTCTTCCTCCTGTCGTCTCTCAGCTGAGCGCCAATTAAGGCAAACTGGCATTCTGGACAAGTCGGTGTGAGGGGGAGGTTTTTGCCTTTTGGCCGAGGTCCCATCATGGAGCAGAAGTACAGAGTACTGAAACTGTCCTGTTCTCTTCTGTGCTGCTGGTCTGCAGAGAGCTGCTGTTTTTATCCAATTAGACTAAACAACACTGCTGGCACTGGCATACACCAGGGAGACTCACAAGTGTGCATGCATTTGTGTGTGTGTGTGCACTTTACCATTAGTAGCACCAGTGGTGGTACTAATGCTACTGTCTTCCTCAGTTGCTCTGCTTCCAGTGCAGCTTGTTTTAAGTAGAGCTTTTATCCAATCAGATTTCACCTCTGTGTCCCTAGATAAGAAGAGAGGCCCGGGGCCTGCAGACTCACAAGTGAATCCATGTGCAGTTTAAGTGAATGGGGACGATATTGTTGATTGTCATAGTCTTCAACCAATCAGATCCTTAGTTTGACATGTTGGGCGTATTCTTTGACGTGCCAGA